AGTGGCATCTAGCGGTATAGTGGCAGATTACAATCCCCTATCCTCCCCTTCCAAGCATGTAGGAGAAACTACAGTGACTGTGAAATTTTGCGAGAGCCATGACAGGCCCTATCTAGACAATGTTTGATTTGTTCATTCTGGGCTACTGTAGAAACATGGTGTTTTAAAATGGCAGCCTCTGTGGAAGAGGACCCACTACCTCCGTAGACATAAATGGCTCATTCTAAAAAACACATTTCTTATTTTCAGTTGATTATACACTAATGAAAACATACCTATGAACATTTTATTCAATTTATAATAAATGTGCACCAGCTATGTGAGATTGTAACTGTTAGCATGGTATGTCAGAATTAAGATAGCTTTATACACGATTAGTACGCTACATTGCAAACTAAGCATTAGCATGCTAACAAAATGCTTTCGAAGCGGACAAAGCACAGTTGAAGCTAACAAAGTGGCTGACAAAGGAAAGCTTAACCTAACAAAGTACACCTGAAGCGAACGGCCTACAGATGAGGCTGATGAAGTGCAGATGAGACTGACCAAGTAAAGCTTAGAATGACAAAGCATAGCAGAAAATGACAAAGAGCAGACAGTGTAGATGGATGTTGAGCTAAGCGTGACAAAGTACAGCTCAGAGCGATTAAAGTTAAGCCAGGTCTGGCGACATAGAACATACACACAAACACTGTACATGCAACCAACAAACACAGGCATAGCATAACCTACCGTGGGGCTTGCTGCTGGTAGCCCATCTACTTTGGCTGGCACCTAGAAGTAAATACAAAAAGATATAACAAATGTAAAACTAGAATATAATATAAGACCCAAGTATAGTCTTAACATTTTAACATCCTCTAGGACTGAAAGATTGGGCACATTTAAATAGGTAGCTTCGAAACATGGGTAACTTTAAAACCTTAAGGAAAAGGTAAGTCAATCCTGAATATGTGGTTAGGGTCACAATTTAGCTGAAGCAGAACCAATCTGTACCCTCATCCACTCTCATCACTTCATCACCCCCCCTGACTCCTCTGCTGGCTGCTTTCCTGTGGTTTACTTCTATCAGTTCTCTCCCCGGGGCGTCCGTCATGTGGAGTTTGGAGTTCAGTCATTATCATTATAAAATTACAGTCTCCCTCTATTTGGCTGTGATTTTATGAGACCACCAAACATCTCAAATTTTTTCTTCTAAGTAAAATGTTGAAGAAAAAAAAACAGAAAACTTACACTGATGAATTCTTTGTTCTCTGAGAAAAATATCCCAGAGGAAGTTTGTAACCTAGAATTATCTCTCTCTCTACTTCTCCCTCTTTCTCTTGGTCTTTACTTCTCTCCGTCTACTGTGTTTGCAAAGATTGTTTAACTTGTTGAAACAGCTGAGGCCACTCGTTTAAACATCATCAAGTGAGTGTGCACAAACACACAGAGACACACACACTGAGCAATTTATTGTCAGGTCTGCATAAGTCTGGGACGGAACATGTAGCTCTGCTTGAGTCTGTCATTAGAAAAAAACCCCAAGGAGTGTCTGTTAACTATTACCACTAGCCAATCTGAACAAATGCCTCTTTCCCATTATAACAAACCCACCAGATAAACCATATGCGTATGGTAGCCCCTGAATATTGGAGATACAGCCATGGGCACAGCATATGGAACACAACTAAATGTTTGAATGGTCTTACTTTTTGTGCTTTAGATACAAGCATGCATAATGAGGTAGCACATCTTTAAACACATCTGGAAATGTTAAAATATACACTCAAAATGTCAATGATGACATTATTGTAGTCTGTGACAGTTTTTTGTGTACTTGTGTTGTGTTCACAGTCAAGATGCTATGCACACATTATGTTTGTCCATGGATATAAGTTTGACTAACCTACAATATTCTGTATGTGCCAGCAACTGCAAGTGCCTTAAAGAGCCCCTTAAGCTTGTTACTTTATGTGTATACACATGTGCCTGTACTAAGGTTTGAATGCTGTGAAAGAGGGGAACACTTGGCCCTCTGGAAGGCAAGCAGAGTCATTGTTTACCTCGTCTTCACTCCCATTACCTCCACACCTAGCCTCATACACTTGTGCACACAAATCAAACCCAATCTTAGCTTGCATAAAATGCATTAGGCTTAAGTAGACCAGAGTTTGTTATGTTCTTCTAGGGGAAAACACAGACAGGAAGAAACCAGGGGCTGACAGCACAGCGAGTCCAACAGGAATTTGTGATATTATGACAGGAGGGGGAAGGCCAGTAAAGATACGGTTACATATATGGTCATTGAAATTATTATTATCATTCCTGGAAATGTCTCTGAAGGGTTAGGGTTAGGTTAATATGTGAGGCCACCAGGATCTGCACTGGGTTATTTAACTCCTGGTCAGAAGATACACAGCCACATCGAGGCTAGGTAGTATTTATAAAAAAGTTTGACTCCTTAAGGTAATTACCTGCAGGGCACGACATTAACTTTCTAAGGCACTTTTCCTTTGGACAAGTAAATCTACCTTCACTTTACACAAAAGTAATTTGTCCGAGTAAAAATAAATAATTGTGAATGCAATATTTAGACAAACAGATAATTGAAAGCATCCAAACAGTGTCAACAAATAAATGTTTTAATTCATACATTTTATTAAAGTGGCTATGTAATCACAAAATCTTTTTCATATGTATTTAGATTGTATACAACAATAGGCAATGTGATACAGAGTGACATCAATGAATGTTCAGATAACCACCTGCGACCTATACCTTTTACTACCGGTATTTCAAATGCCATATGGATATTGTAGTTTATATTTGAGCCATTTTGTAGCACATGTGCAGTTTAAACTACAAAATGTTTTGTTCTTAAGAGTTGTGAATTACACAGCTGATAATGCTTGCTAGCTAACGTCACTTATTTGTTGAGTTGCCCCTGGTAGATGACAAAGGACATTACCCCTTCCTCTTTGTTGTAATGTACCCAGTCAAATTCATTTCTGCAGTTCCAAGGTAAAATATTTGAACTGCGACTCCGGTTTTTGAGTTGGACTTAATGTGGGGGAAAAATGCATTTGTTTTAAATTGGCATTCTGAATGTACTCATTTAACTAAATAGGCGAGTAATGAGTGGCACATTACGTGAAGACACAAGCTGCAAAGGCGAGCCCTGATCTGTCTCTAGTACCAACACTGGATCTTGTTATGTGTCAAAAGATCAATGTCTGATCTTGCTATTATCATTAAAAAGCAACAACAAAAAAAGGTAAGAAGATACAACATCTGCCTGGTTTTGAAAAGACCAGTCTTTTGAATAGGACTTAAAAGTAAGTTGAGGTGTGGTGTCTTTACTGATTTAAGCCATCCCTCTCTGAAAAGGTCACTGCCTTCCCTGAGGATCTTTACTGTTTTTCTCTTTGAAGAGTGGATGTTTAGTTCCAGAAGCCCTTTATTAACCTCAGAATCAACAAATACTGTTTTATGAGAAGAGGATGAGGATGCAGTCAAGTCAACAGAGCTCTGAGGTCAAGATAAAAAGTTCTGCTAACAGCTTGACTGAGTCAGTAATACAAACATCTGTAGATACAGTCAGTGGGCCACTGTGTGTACATGACCTGATGGCAAACACAAACTCCACATCTGCATTAGAGGGAAATGGCTAGGCAGCTAATTTATCCATTTTTGGAAGTGTTTGTGATTAAAATGAAATGAGGATGCTTTACATACAACTGGTGGATTAATGTAATTGTTTAAAAAGCATTTACTGTATATTCATCTTTTTTCTGAAAGGCTGACATTGTGGAAATGCAACAATTTCACTCACCAACAGCAATATTGTAATAGCATTAACACAAGTGACAGTCAGGGGAAAATTCAGCTAATTTACTCAGGACATTACTTTATTATACTAAATAAGATCAAGCACATTTTGCTGTGTAGTTTCGGTAAAAACTTGGCAAATCTACATTGCAAAACACATTTTTCAAGTAGCCCGTAATGTCGTCCTGTGTAAACAACCCAGCTGTTCCCTTTGTATTGTTGCATCACATTATTATTAGGTACGCACAATAATTATTGGGACACATAAATTATCAGCTGACAGTGGGAAATTATTATAAATGATTTGATAATTACTTGAGAGCCGATAAATTATTATTATTAATTAATTAGTTGATATTAATAGTCCTTTACTTTGAATTCTTAGGCCAAACAACTGATATGCTTTATGTTCTATGAAAGTATGTTTGTTAAGTTTTTAATGACATTTACTCGAAAAAATAACTGAACATTTGAAGAATCAGAACGGTTGTTCTCGTTGTTACGTAAACAATAGTGGTAGGTTAGCTCAGAGCTATGGAATATTAAATAATCCATATTTGCTCAATGGTGTGTAAAAACTACAGGTTATGAACTTCTTTTTAAAATACAACAGTGTGAAACTATCGGTTATCTTATTGGCATCGGCCATGAGAAGCAGCCAATTATCGGTTATCATATGGGCTGAGAGAAAATCCACATTGTGTATCCCTAATTATTATGTTACACCCATTTGGCAGATGCTTTTGTCCAAAACAACAAAATGTCCATTCATACCCGATACACAAAAGCAAAAATGAAAGCGTGTTCAATACCAGCAAGATTTTTTGTTGTTGTTGATGTTTTCTGGAAAGTACGTGCTAGCATTGGGTGTCGAGGTATAATCTAAAAGGGTGGATTTTCAGCCTGTGTCAGAAGATGACCTATATGTCCGGTGTCCTGACTCCAGTAGGCAGCTTATCCCATCAAAATGATTGCCGGGAGGCAGAACGGTGCACTGGTCATAACTAACTGTGGGATTTGACCATGGCTTGAGGATGTAATTTCCATTTTCTCATTTGACTATCATTTGAGTTTCACTGGTGCTGGATTCCTGCCATCAACAACACTTAGGGACGCTTTTGATGTGCTTACCATACTGAATTTTGGAATTTGATTTACTGTAGCAGTATGCCAGTATTTAGACCAAAAGTACATGTGGCTGTCAGTAGCAAAATATTGTGTGAGTGACCGCACTGAGGTGAATGTGTGTGCGTGTATGTGTTTGTGTGTGGTAGGTTAGTTTGATCAGATTCTAATCTCAGGCACCATGTCAGTTCACCTCTGACCTACTGAGAATTACAGCCTCACAACCTGTCACACTCCACTGCACTACAATAGGATCAAACACCGACACACTCAAACACATGGTGACACTCACACGTCCACACAAACACACACCGACAGTTGTTTCCGTGCTGGCATGCATGCACAGGCACACAGAGAGAAACACACACTCAAATATAAACACGCAAACATCATCTGTCTTTTTGAAGAATCTGCAAGTTTACATAACAAGTCTGATTGCTGCCGAGTACACAAAATAGTCCAATTATGGCAACACTTCTGTCAGAGTGTGAATCTGCTCGCTACAAAGAGTTATTGAGCTGCTGTCCCTTTCATGTGGTGCCGCGTCAACATTCAACAAGATATCATTTCACAGGAATGAGATGTGTGTATGCTTTTTATGAGTATAAAAGAAAACATTCTCATAAATTCTGGCAGGGCGAGAGTCTGTCCTGGCTTGTAAGCCTGGGAGAGGAAAAAAAAGAGAGAAAAAAAAGACAGCGAGGCCTCTGACTTGGCACCCGAATAGGGATAGAGGGATCTTTTACGTCCATAAATCACTCTCTCTTAATTCATCCCTTTATCCTGTGGGACAAAGTGCAGGCAGGCCCTTTGCTAGGGGGATACTAACAATATTGTGCATGCTCACAGGGAGGTAAGAGAGTGGAATCACTATTACTGTAGATGTTAGCCATGTAAATACAGGGTGCACATAGTATATTACAACCACTGCAGAGTGGCTGTAAAAGTTAATTCTTTTAATTCTTTTTGTACAATAAAAAATAATTATGAAGTGCTGTGACGCTCGTTTGAAGTATTCAACAGTAAAAGGTTGTGAGAAAGGTATTTGTTATTATTTGTTTTATGGTGTCTGTGAAATATGTTTTTGTGCTTGGGCTCAGTTTAGAGCTTGGCACAAGTGTTGCAGTGTGTGCAAGTCTGTTATGATGCAGATAACGATGAAATATTGATGGCTGTCTGCAGTCCACACACATACCAGCAATCTTGAGTTGTGGTGTACAGAGCTCGTATCAACATGCACACTGTTTCAACCATGAGTTATATTTTGTTTTCGATATTCCAGTGTAACATTTAGAGACTGGTTACAACAACAGTCAAAACTTATTTACAAAAGTAACCAACACTACATACCGCATACATAAAACCTTTTTGTTATCTACACAATGTTAATGTCAAGGAACTTTAATTTTGTGATGATTCTGGCGGCCCCTGTGGACAAAAGCGGTAGTATTTTAACCACCTCATTTAATTGATTTCGAGGGGACTGTATGTGAACGAATCTAACTATATAGAAATAGCCAATCCTTTCGCTGATGGTGTTGTCTATGTAGGTCATATAGAGGCATCAGTATTAAATTGAGACTGTAACCACTTCAAAACTACTCGCGGAACGTTTATGGTACCATAACTACATAACAACATTCCTACTCACCTCTGCATCAGGCCTCTGGTTCTGGGTTGGGCTGAGGTTAGCAGGCTGACTCTGGGACAGTTTCTGGGGCTGCAGGGCTAAAAGTTTGTCCTTTAATTCATTGTTCTCCTTCCTCATCTGTTGCAGCTCTTCCAGCCGAACCCTGTCCTCCCGCTCCTTCTGCTCACGTAGATTCTCTATCACTCGCTCCTGAGATAGTGAGATAGAAAAAGAACAAGAGAAAATAACGTTGGGTTAGAGGTGTGAGTAGAAATATAGTAAAGAGCCTAGATAGCCATCATCGGCGTAAAAACTTAAATTTAAGAACAGTCATAAAATGGATGTTGTTTTGCTTCCAGTGGGCAAAAGATTGACAGCCCTGTGTGATTACAGTTCTTTCCTATCATTATTGAAAAATTTGAGCCAGTCTCTTGTTGAATAGGCTGAGTGAGGCCAAAGACAAACTCATAAATGCCCATCATAAATAATACTACCATAAATAATAGCAGGGACATGAGGAGATCAGTTCCAAGTAGAACAGAGAGAAAGAAGGAGGAAGGAGGAGAGGAGAGGAGATGAGAGACAGAGACAGAGACAGATTTATTGAGAACGAACTGAATAGTACTGTAGATCACTTCCTAACATCTCCACATTGCCTTCTGATAAACCAAGTTGGAATGTGTACATCATAATTTTCTCTATTCTCTAATCATATCGGACAGCGGGAGGACCACGGCTTTGGGCATTGGCCTGAGACCAGGATCACACCATGGGTGGCGGAGCATGCAAGGTGTGTGTAGAAGGTGTGTGTTAAGGTGTATGTGTCTGTGTTTAGGTGCGGACTGAAGTGATTATCAAGGTGTTTACTCAGGTGTTTATTTAGGCACAGAGCACAGCTCAGCAATGAGGCTTTACGATGTGGCATCGCCGCATGATTGGCAGCTTTAAACCCCTGGGTAATTGGACAAATACACCCACTAACTAGACCTGGCACAGTAACGCACTGCATATTGGGCTTTGGAAGACAGGACGAGAGAGAGAGAGAGAAAAGAGAAGGAGAGAGACCACATGGTTAATAGGTCCTGGGTGTTTTCCCCACATTATGAAATATCTCTAGGATGTTTGGGGTTTAGGGAAAGAGACCAGGATGTGATAATAAAACCTGCATCTATGAATGTGGAGCACACGTAAACACAACACAAACTCACACACACACACACACACACACACCAAAGAGTAGGGCTCAGCTTGGGCACAATGCCCTGGCCTGTTAATTAGAACCACAGCACTGTGGCTAGCGACTGGCTCCAAGAGCAGGTTTGTGACAGGGTGTGTGATTAGCAACACACACACTCACTCTTGTAAACACATTACACACACCCTGTGTTGACCACAAAGTCTGAAAAGCTCGCCAATGTTCTCCTCATCACAGCTGAATTATATGTAGGCTGCATCAGAAGTGGTTTCTGGGTAAACAGATGGGCCGAAGCAGAATAGGGATTTACAGTTTATTGTGCCATTATGCTATTCATTTCAAAGTCTGCCGGCAACAAAAACAAATTTAGGTGATAAAAGATCATTTTAAGTGAAAACATCTACGTACTGTGTTGGTCCATGTGTAGCAAAAACAATGAAGCCAACATATTGTCTATTAATAGACTGATTTAAAATGTAAATAATTCTTGATTAAATGGATATAAATTCAGTAACTTTCAATTCAATAAAATTAAACACAATCAAAGGAAATAACCGCTTCATAAGTCAGAGACAAACACACAAATCTCTTCTTTCCTGTCAAGGACTTAAGCAACCCTGTGTCCAACTACACCTAAGTCTCTCTCACATGATCAGCGTCAAAGCACTTGATATTGTGTAACAGACAGATTTGTTTTAGTGATGAAGCGTGATTGTACAAATGTTGTAAATGACGAACAGAACAAAAAACTTTGAGTTGCAATGGTCAGATTTGAAATTGTTTCAACCTACTTTTTAACATAACTTTAACACTGGTATCGACTGATTGGCACATTTCTGGCTGGTAGCATCCAATCATTTTCATGCAGGTACACAGCAACACGCTGTATCACTGATATTATGATCACGTCCAACGATATTTGCTGCCAGAGCTCCATCCACCAACTCAACCTCCTCATGTGGCATTTCATGCGGTTGATTTAACAAAGATTTAATGTTGGCGTATGTGTTCATTAAAGGTTATGTATACAGAATTCACGTGCCACTGGATGTCGCACTAGAGAACCAACATCTCAGACCAAAACAATGGGACAGAAATAAAACTCACGAAAACCCTTTTTCCCTTAATTTACAGAGTTATATGCAAAATATTTGTGTAAAGGACTGCAATGGCTGCAATGTTAGCTTAAGTTAATCCTTGGGGACAAATACACCCGTCAACGCAAGTCCATGCGCCAGTTTTTGCCACTGACAGGCTCAGATTGTTCTAAGTGTCTGAAAAGATTAAGGAACGGATCCCTAGAGAGATACAGTTTTTTGAGATTGCTCGCTATACTGAGATAATTTTACCTTGCATTTCACTGTAACATAACTTCATGTTGTGTGAACAGAAACAAAATAAAAACTGTACAAAGCCATCTCTGTTATTCTTTCCATTGTTCCAACAATCACCAGACCTGCTTTGGTTGAAATAAATCCTTAATTCACCCAGGTCGATGCATGAACAGGAGTTTCAGTCCCTCTGCTGCACATGGAGAAAACTGCCTAAACCAGAGAGAGGCTGCGATAGCAACACGGACAAAGGGAGTGTGATGTAATTCTCTGCTCAGAACACAATGACCCCAAAATATCTTTACATAACAAATAGTTGTTTGCCGCTACATTAATGTTGAAATCTCATAGACTGTATAACCTTTAAAGAGGGATTAGGATTAGAATTTGCTCAGAATCCTAATCACAGTTCGGATTGATTGAGACCTCCCTCATACAGGAGAGCCCTGTCCACCAGATCTAACTGTATAACCATTTGCTATGAAACAGTATTCATTTCTTCTGATATGTAGTTCTGACTGAGCGTTAGATGCAACACTCAAATTTTGTCATTTTCTTTTGACCTTGGTCCCTCAGTCCCTTACACAAGTATGCACTTGGCAGATCAGAGCACAAGTGACACAAGCTTATGTTGCAAACAGTACAACAAATGTAAAGGCATACACATACACACATAAACTATGTGCACATTGGGCATAAATGTCAGCCACTGGAAAAGACGCATCACAGCTGGACATCCACATCTGTCCTAACTGAGAACTCTACAAGCTCTTAAGCAGCAGCCAGTGCCAACACAAAGTAAACCAGCATCCATCTTTTAGCCTGCAGTACAAACAAACATGTAAATGAGAACCATTTCTTAGCCTGCAGCGCCAAAGCAATCACTTTTTTTAGACTGTAGTACCAACAAATGTGTGCGAGCGACAACTTTAGAAATGCAACAAAGCTAAGGAAGATCAAGTCACTCTGAAATCAAGCCAGTCAGTTCAGGGTAAAGTGTTTATACTGCCAGACTAAGATTTGACATTCCCATGGTCAGTTCAGAATATAACATTAAATTTGCCCTGTGTTCAAGCCTGTCTCCAATTAGAAATATCTGGCACCCTGTAAGCTTGAGTACAAATTCATAAACACATTACTAAAGACTAGTGTAGAAATATATTAGCATAAGCGTTCAAGCTTCTCGAAAGCAACCTATACTCTACCCAGGAATACTGCAAAAAACAATGGGGTTTTATTGGGTAAATCATCTGTGTGATGAAATGCACTGCATTTCACTGAAAACACCACAGTGGGCAGCGAGGCCATTCATCTTTAAGTGTTAGTGGCGGCATGCTAGCTTAGTAGTGTTGAAGTGAGCCTTTATGGAGTCCAGCTGCTCTCTCATGTTGCCAGAAAACAACAAACGCTGAATGTTTACGATCAACATCCAGCCCATCCACTCACCCGTCCATCCATGTGGAGTAAGGCTGCTTAGTTCACCTTGATTCACGTGGCAGTTGCAGCTCTGCGGTTTTATGCTGCAATGTGTCACGCATACAGTACTGTTCGTTATACTATTTGCAGAAGCCATGGAGGCCAGTAAATCCAGTTTCCAAAGTATCCACAAAAAAAAGCATACGATTAGGATATTGTGACTGTATCTAACAATTGATAAGCAGGAGGTTAGACACAAACTTCATATTTTACTTACTTTGGACCAGGACTGTAAATACATCCCATTGAGACTTAACAGTACATCAGGTCTGTCTTCGAGCATTGTCTCTCTCATTCGGTTCACTTACAGCCACAGTAATTTTTTCCTCTATATGTGTGGGGCTGTTATCGGTTACTGAATTTCCATCCCTGTCTGATGCTTTGTAACTGTATTTCTCTTGCCAGCTCTGTTCTTTCTCTTCTTCTTTCATAAGTCTTGAAGTTACAGTTTTTTTACCCCGCCTCTACCCTTGCATTCCTTGACCTCTCCCTCCCTTAATTGTGAGGCCACCTCTTCCATCAGGGCTGTGCCTCTTCTGCCATTCCACTTTTCCATCCCTCCATTCCTCCCCCTTTCAAAACTTCCATCCTCCCCTTATTCTATAGATCATTCCCTCCCTATGTTCAGCACAGTTACAGACAGGGACTAATCCTCTGTCTATGTTCACCTTAGACCTCCCTTTTCCCAGTGCCTCCTTCTCTCCCTTACAGTTCGCAGTCTCATCCAGTGTGGCCCAAGGTCTATAAATTAGGCTGTGTCAGTAAATTATTACAGTGAGTCATAGCAAAACATGCAACTTAATTAAGCTGTATGCTGTATACCAGCTTCCTGAATGACCAGTGTGCCTCAGAGGGTAAGAATTTCCAGACCAAGTTGTGGTCTAATGGTTTCATTTTGTGAGTTTTTTATTGTCCACAAATAACAAGTTTTAGTCTCTTCATTAATAGTGTGAGTAATACTTCACGCCATCCATCCAGCAACTATTTTAACAGAGCAACATCTACCTCAACCCTCACCTGAAGTCTCTTTTATCAGCAGTTGCTATCAGCTTTTCTTGACCTCCAACTTCACCTTTGGCTTTTCCATTTACCTTTTCTGATAGGGCTTCTTCCAGTGTGGCCAGGGCGGTGTCTGTGTTGCTGGAGTCAGTCTGAAGGCCCTGGACCCTTTCCCTCAACCCAGCCAGCTGTTTGTCCTTATCCTTTAACTGCTCCAACAGGTTCTCAATCTGGAGAGCAAAGGACAGAGACAGAAAAGAGCTGAGGTTAGGAGCATGTTGATGTGAAGCAAGCACATAACAGTTTAGAATGAGCCTGAAAGGTTAAGTAGCATTTGTACTATGTACGCAACTGGGAGACCATGACTGGAGACCTTGTGGTACCAAAGTACCACAAAAAGGAATTATCCCATTGACCAGTGATTCATCGAGAAGATGAATCTAGACAGTGAATAGTGTGCTCAGCCTCTGGCTGCAATCTCCAATTTCCTGCTGTAATGTCTTCCATTCTGGCCTGGCATCTCAAAGATGAGCAGCAATGAAAGCCTGTACTGTACGGTTTCGGTTAAGACAATTATGGCTGAATCCATGAAGAGAGAAGAGGTTAATTGTACTGCTGAGTAGAATAGTTAGTGAAGAGGTGTAAACAACACAGCCATTGGGTACTGTGACCAAATCAGCCAGTCCCAGTAGTGTTATACTACGAGCTAATTCAGCGCATTGACATACAGGACTGTGTCTCTGCATCTGCCTTTCTGTGGCTAACCTCATGTCACTAAAGTGGTGGTGTAATAGCCAGTTGTGGTGTTCAACAGCCTTTATCTGATGAACATTTGCAAAACAGAACACAAACACACACAAAGACTCATGCACAGGCACAAACACAAAACGCTCCGGGCTGTACCAAACAAAACACTAGCAGATGCAGCTGGAGAAGGACACAGTGCAATGCAGTGAAACTCCAGAGGTCTACAAATTGGTTACAAAGGGACAGCACATCTGTTGACAGGACATGGTGACTTACTTGTGGTTTTATAATTTCTGCAAGCTTACTTTACATTCCTTTAAATTCTGAATTAATATCATCTTGATTAAAAAAAGGTAGTTACATTTGAAAAATGGATGGACTCCCTGAGGTTCCTTGAGACGTATACACTGGAATAGAGCATCTATTTTCTCTCTAACTCAGTCTTCTTTAGTGGTTTTTCTACAAAACAGACAAAGCACCATTCACTCACTGCTGCAAAGCATTAATACCACATTTGACCCAAGTGGACCTTTCTCAGATCAGGGTTTGTGTTCTACAAAAGAAAGGAAAATGCACTGAAGAGAATTCATTATTTAATGAACATGAGAATCCAATAAAAACAAGAAAAGCACTTCAGGCCATCAAGAGACCACATTTAAACTGAAATGGTGACAGGGTAAAAAATGCCCAGTGGGGAGAATAAGCTGCATTCCAGTCATGGGTACATAGATAGATAATGTTCAAATCTCCACAGCTATTTTACAAATGAATCCAATTAGACCGTAGACTTTGGTGTTCTCTGTTCCCTGGAGGGCAAGAGAAAGGATTTAAAGGAGCCATCTTGGTTTTGGCAATGGAGGGAAAGTGGCAGGAGGGGGTGGGAAAAAGCAGCCAGGACCCTTCGGCAGATCTTGATAGGTTAATGACAGTCATTACACAACCAAGCTAAAAGCTCTGGTAGGTCAGTCCACAAGCGATAGGGACATTAAACCCTTCAGGGAATGATGGGAAAGCTTCACACTACCAAAGTTAGAAGATAAAATTCCCAGAAATTCATAATTGTAAGATGGGATTTTAGGGCGGACACTATGGGAGAGAAAGGGACCGAGAGAGGCGAGGTTCATATGGGTTTTCTCGCTTATTCTTTCATGTTTCTCTCATTTTAAGTGTGTGGGCTGAAGAGGCACTTTTTACTTATTTTCCACGGGATGTAGGCACTTGAGCACTACAGCTAGGCACGGTATAACATACACGAGCTCCACATCCTGAAGCGCCGGTAACCCTCCACAGAGACTGACAGGCTTATCTCCACACACAGGAAACAAAGGAGGAAGTACAAAAAAACCATATATCTGGTTTTGGCCTCTAGTTGTAGCAGCTCAGTAGCTTTAGACATACCTTGTTCTCATAAATATGCACCGAAACATATACATATACACTCATACACACCCTAGCTCCCTGTCCCTATGGGCACCACAGGGCCCAATTTCAGGTCGACTTGAGCCCGTCGCCTCTGGTCTTAGATAAATGATTACATTCTTCAGCAGGCTTGAGTTTGCTTTGGCCTGGTCGCACGAAATAACAACCCCTCGATGAAATATTTAGCCTCGTCGCACGGCCTTCTGTGAAATTGTGCAGAAAAACGCTCAACGCAACTTAAATGTTATATCGGCGGATGAGAACAAACCACGTGAGTCATGGATATGGGAAAGAGGGCAAGGAATTCTCACCCGAAGAGAAACGCCTTTTGTGGACAGGCGAGGTGCAGGGCAGCTGTATGCCTTTCTGGGGGAGAGCGGGGCCTCCCTTCCAGTAGCTCGATTGTTATGATGAGAACAGCAGTCATTCATTTTATCTCTCAGTGTATGAGGCTACCTCAGACTATACTCCCGCATCTCTCACACACAAAGACACACAGCCAGACACACTCACACAGGCTTTTATCATTAAACCACTGTGCATATGTCATCCCATTCTCCAACCACACACACCTCCCGCTGAAGCAGACCACCTACGATAGGCAGCTACCATGACTCTATGGGCCAGGCCCTGCGGTGTGGACTGTCTGTCTCAGTGAGTGTGTATCCTCCTGAGAAACCATGACGTCTGTCTCAGTCCTCCCCCACCACACACAGCTTCCCGCTGTTTACAGCCATACTGTTTTGACTTTATCAACAAGCTGATAGGAGGGGACCAGGTTCTCCTTAAAAGTGGGAGTGTTGATGCAGCGTTACCTTTTACTGACCTTGACTTTGCACATGCTATCGACCATTGTGCAGTATTTCAAAACGCTGGGAAGTTATGGGATGTGGAGATTTCATTACTAATGAGTCAGAAACTTGTGCAATTATGATGACATAATTATGGGAAAGATTCAGAGAGGGACTTAAAACCTGTGTTTAGAAATCATTGCAGTACCACCAAAAATATACTGTTTATATAAAAATATGGGAATAAAGATGCTTTACAGTTAAGTATTATCAACTTGGTTATGCTGGCTACAGTCATATTGTTTATTTCTTATCAACTAGTTAACAAAACTAGTGGGTTAAATGTGGGATAGTTTGATATTGATATTGACTATTCTCATCAGTTAAACAAAACATAATGACATTTCCATTAATTTTCAAATTAGTATATTTAAAGTGTCTGGGAAGGGTTCACACTATTACAATAGCTGATACATTCATGTAAAACAATTTTAAATCTCTGTTTCTCTTTGAAATGCTTTGGTGCTGCATTGTGTTTTGCAATCTGTAGTGTATGAACATGATTAGGTCAGGCTGAGTTCTAATATAATGAAAGAGAAGTTAGTGAAACAGTATCAGGCCCTGTGTCTCTGGCGAAAAATCGTGATCTAAAAGCAGCTTGTTCTGGAGCAGAACCACAAACCCGGTCGACCCGTCTGTCTTCCATCCAAACTAAGAACTAGGACTCCGTGGCCTCCAGAGGAATCATTTCTGCAGAACACAAAGGAGACCAGCGTGGAGCGTGACCACCATAAAAATACAATCATTTGTATTTTTAAAACTCTTTTGGACCAATAAAAATACCAAACAATAATTGGTCGCCCTTTTTGAAAGGCAACTCATTTCTCTGCGCTTGTCATCGCCGCTGAAAATATGACAGGGACAGTTGTAAAACCCAAAGATCCTGGCACTGATATGTATGTGCGTGCATGCACACACACACACACACAGCCACACACAAATAAATACACAGAGGGACAATAACCGCTAACTGAACAACACAGTGCGCACTTCCCCAGAGAAATCTAGGTCACAGTCAGACAGAAACACGATGAAAGACGACATACTGGAAATATCATACTGCTACTTTAAGTACTCCAGAATCACATACTGCGATCCAAGTAAAGCATGTACACATTAAACTTGGAATTTTATGATGTTGTGCATCTGTGTGTGTGTGTGTGTGTGTGTCTTACAGTATACCCAACCATATACACCTGCATATTGTTTCCATCTCCTGCCATTAGAGCTTGTTGATTCCCAGATTAAAAAAGGACTTCCTCCTGCTCCTGAGCACTCAGATGTGGCTCTTCAAAGAGAAGTCACAGTTTGTTTCTGAAGCTCAGGGAAGACAGTGACCTTTTCAGCATGAGCAGGGTGTGCTTGCACTTCGTTTAACCCCTGTCCCACCACCACCACCACTTCCCACCGCCACCCCTTCTCTGCCTGTGAAACAGAGCAAAACTGGGCAACACTGGCGGACTGGGAAAACACTGATACTGTGTAAGCTGGCGCCCCCATGTGAACATTTACTGCAACAGGCCCATTTATTAACTTGCAAGAATTTTAAACTTAATTTAAAATGGAAAAATGTGTGTTTATGTTTTTATCTTTCAAGCACTTACGTATGAGGACAGCAGAGTGGCAATCAGACACAGAGGAGACTCAAATTCCAAGAGAATTCCATATTTATGAGATAAAATAATTCACATCTTCACAGAGCAGGGCAACACAGAAGAGATACTGCCTTCTGTGGTCCCAGATTTTACTTGCACAATTAACAGCTAGTAGAAGTTAAACATAAATTTTAGCTGCACAAATGCAGTTAGCTACCTGAACGGGGAACTGCTGCCATATACTCAAAGCTGTTTAGTCCCCACCAGATCTCTTCCTGTTGAGTCAACTGGCTGGGAATGTAAAGGGGACAATGTGACACAGAAACCCTTGAAGCAGAAAATGATACCTCTCCCTTATTCCCCTCAAATGACCCTCCCTGATGTCATGCTGCTTTGCTCGAGGAGTTATTATTCATCTGTTATCGACCAGAACAACGGAGCACGATGACTTCATAAGACGAGTGGTGCCCGAGAGAGGTAGGAAGAGAAGGGAGGGTCAAGAAGCACGATACTCAGGTTCTGAAATCATCCATACTTTTCTAAACAAGGAACAGTATAGCTCATTATTATTATCAGGGAACAGTTTTGATTTCTTGACTCCACAAAGAGAGTTAAGCG